CCAGGCCAAATTTAAAAGGCATTTCCTTTGCTAAAATAGCATTGACCTCCCGTGGTCTCCTTCATCCCTATCTTGTCTATGTCCTATATTCCATGTCTCACCCTTCAGATACTACTTTTCCCTGATGACTTCATTTAATTCTGTTAGCATAAATGACATCCCTCGTTATGCTTCAGGACAGTTCCCATCAATATTTGCACATGACCTCTTTCAGTTATTGGCCTTAACAGTCTAATTTGTAACCACCAAACCACAACTCCAGCAGCACATTCTGTAGATGTTTGTTTATTTATTCTGTTACCATGCTCGCATTGTACAACTTTTGTTTCACCACAGTACATGTACATCTTTCTGTTACATTTTTTTTCTCCATCTAGTCATAGCCATTGAGGCCATCTTGCCTGACAAGTTGCATGTTGCAGACCATAAAATTACATACATGCATGCAGAACTTATTTGAAGAAAACCACAATATTTTTCTCTGAATGAGAACAAATCTTTTTGACAGACAGTTCTGCAGCTTCCTGATGTACAATTTTCGGCTTCTACAGGACATATTCTACTATGCATTTGACTTTTTTTTTCACTTCTGCATTGCAAAATCCCAATTAATTTATCTCCCCACCCAGCTGGCATCTCTCAGGGCCCCACCAGCAGTACCTGGGCTGCTGTGACAAGAAGGGCAGCGTTCCCACCTGCTGCGGGACACGGGGGCCAGACCAACCTCTTGGGTTGCTGCTCTCCGGCCACACAAACCAGCAATACCTAGGTTTCCTCGCCACCCCTAAGAATGGACAAGACTTTACAGCTGGAAGAGTGGGCCATTGTAGAAAAACAGATATGTGCAGGGCAGAAATGAAATATGAGTGGTCATTCCATGATATAGCTTGGGTATTTCTGATTTTTCCAGACCTTGTATTGGTTGTAACAATTGACTGATTTCTTGAATAAGTATGTTGCTTCCGGTTCATGTCTCCAGCAGCAAGCACTTTTTTCTAGTCTTTTTTTTTTTTTTTAATGAAACATAGCATTTATACAAAAAATGTCTGCTTTCCATGAAAAATTTCAAGGTACCACTGCTAATAAATCTTCAAATTTAGAACCAAGTTATCTAATACAAATGCTTCCATGTCAAAGTGCGTGCTGGAGTTCAACCACTGGAATCACATTATTTTCTGTGGGCTGTGCTTCCCAGACAGAGTCAATCTGCCAGTATATGCTGTGGCTTTCAGATTCCCCATGGTCTCATGTAGTATCAAGTGATCATGATACATGGTAGGAGATATGGTCCTGATATAATAAACCCAGTATACAGAGAAAAAGAGAAGAGTTAAGCACCTAGTCTACATTTGTGTTTACATACTATGGCAGATAAGCTTTACAAATCCTGCAGTTTACAGCTGTAGTTATTGTAACGCTGGTGGTGTACTATCATGCGGGCTCAGTAATTCTTTCAGTTGGAATTATTAATTTTCACTCAACAGTTGCAGCAGTTGGTGCTTGTAAAATAAAATGTTGTAGACTTTGATTCTCACATGTGAGTGGCCAGCATCATCTCTTTTGTTTTCCTTTTCATAAAACAAACCTTGCAAACATGCTGTAACTTTTGTAAATTGGGGGCTGGCAACATTTCAAGCAGAAATGCAGTTCACATTGAGGTCACAAAAATGGAGTTGTGTTTTATATCCTTGCAGCCCATCCAAACAGGATTCCTAGTTGTGTCCATGCAGCTTTCCAGTGTAAGGGGACCCTTGAAATCTCTGGATCAAGGTTTTTGAAAACAAAATGAACAAAACTCAAGACTTGATGTGTGGAGTAACAGTGGTGGACTCTTCTCACCTGCAGGGACACAGCTGTTGAGCATCACCTCAGCAGGGTACCTCTGTCAGGTTGAGGCCACAGCCTCTACATCAAGGCAATATCTCTCCTCGCACCCTGTGAAGCTGTTTGCTTTCTTTCCTCATCATACGTTTCTTTCTAGTTCTACTAAAAGAATTAATCTGTTGAACTCAGTTGCCAGCAGTGCTTCACAGTCATATTTTGGGTAAAGCACAGTATCTGTGCCATATTACAGCACAGGTTTACATTGGGGGTCAGTACATTATTTGCAGTGGTTTAGCAACTTCCTTCTGCATGGGGTTGCTGAGGTCTGTACTGATTCCAGCTTCATTAGTGAAAAGCTGCTAAAATCTGAAAATGTTAGAAAAAAAGGCTATGGTCTTTGAAACCCTTTGAGAGTGATGTTCTTTGCTCTGCCTATATTGGATCTCATGTTGCTGGGCCATCTGAGAAGCCAAGGCAAGCTTATACTTCTACTTTTTGCATCATTCCAGCTCTGCACACCTAGTGTATGCTTTATTTGCATAAGGCTCCTTCCAGGGACTCCAACATTGAGTGTAAGCAAGCAGCCTTCTCTGCTGCTTATGCTGAATGAGCAGTCCCCTCCTCCCCTGAGACGCAGTGTACCCTTTCCATCACACACTCAGCCTTGCCTGGCCTGTGGCATGAGAGTTTCAAGTCTGTCTTGCACCTGATTCCTCTTTGGATGTCAACATTCAGAGCTGCTGCTTGCTGCAATTGCCCTAGGCCTTTGCACATCTAAATGCATTTTAATGTCAGCTCAACATAAGCACAAATATGTAAGGAAAAGATGTGTGGGGGTAAAACACAGGATGCCATCCCTACAAAACCCTGAAGAATTTGTCATCTCTTCGATCTTAAGGTAAATACATAAGTCGTAGGAAAAGGAGTAGAGCTAAGGATCTTTGTAGTAATGTAGAACTGCTAATCAAGTATATTTTGAGGTCAATGAAAGAAGAAGGACGTATTTTCAGATTGTTGGCATCAGGGCTCCTTGTCTGATTCAAAATCTGTCTATGGAGTAATATTAAAGTATTTGAGGTATTTATCGTAAGCATTTTCTTTATGTCAAGAGTGTGATTAGTCCAGCTTGTGTAACAAATCGTGAGGCTAGGAGAGGTGGGCTAGGAAGCACAAGAGAGAAAAGGGCCAACCAATAGGTGCAGAGAACAAGATCCTTCACTATTCAGGCTTCAGAATTGTAATACAAGTTGAAATCATACTTCTTTCACTGGCATTTTAGATACAAAGCCTAAATGTTCCTCTGACCGTACTTCAGTTCTGTCCGGTTAAATCCTTCCAGAAACATCTGTGACAAAACCTAAAGCTTCAGCTTAACTTCTGCAGTCAGATTTACTGTGGCTAAGGATGTTGCCAGAAATGCGATGTTGTTAAAAGTGTACTTCAAATAGAACAATATGGGGGTAAACATCTGAAATTTGGTCTCGCTAAAAAAGGCGGGGTTTACTTACTTTTCTAGCTTAAACAAATGCAAATAAACCCTTCTTGATCCTTTAGAAAAATCTGTTTAAATTCATCATCCCTTTATTCCAACATGCTCGTTTATCTGTAAGGCTTTTACTATAAAATGCAACAGCTTACCATCATGGGTTAAGACTTGCATCCGACCTTCCATAGAAGAATGATGGGTAGATCCCTGTACTCACTAATATACACTTTTAGTTATCTTTATGCCTGAGTCAATTCTTCGATCAGGAAACCTAAAGATAGTGTTGACCTTTAAAGGAATACCTGTAAAGATTGAATTGAGTGGTTTTATTTTTCCTACAAAAAAACTGGAACTCTTCTGTATATTTTTCAGCTCCTTTCCACTGAGTCTGGGCTTATTAACCGTGAGGGCAGCGCAGGCATCTCTCCTTCAGACAGCACTACTATAGCAGTGATTGCAGAGACCATATACCTGTTTACGTTAATTTTTCAGCTTTCCTTCTTGCTGGTGTTTTTAAATTCAGTCCACATCTGGCCATAGAAACAGTCTCATTTCAGGACTCCAAGCACCAGATCCACCCACTGCAGGCAAACTGCTGAGGATGTGAAGGAGTAAATGATGGCATTCGTTCTACTTCCCATGCTCGGATTTGGCTAATCTATTGTCAGTGTCCTGTTTTCTGAGAAATGCCAGTTCTGCCACAAGGGCTTCAGTTCAGTTCTGTGGCTTCGCCTTTGTTCTGTTGTTTAAAAGGTATGCAGCTTAAGCAATGTCGTCAGGCTGAGGCACTGAGGTTCATTAAACATGTAGCTCTCAAAGCTGCAAAATAAGGAATCATCACATTTCTATGGCGTGTTTTATCAAGACATTTCAACTTCCAGTGCGGGAAGTTTTGTGAAAATCTTTTTAATCCACTCAAGTAGCTTAAAGGGGAAGATCTACTTTAAAATACTTCCCTGAAAAGTTTGCTCTTAGTTTCAGTGGGATCTCAGGTCAGCATTGAATGCTTCCCTTTCCCCTTGCATGCTGCATTCCATGTTATCCAGTAGTTTCTAAGGCTGCAATTTCAGAAGAAATATAAGGTGACTTAATCCTGTATGTAAGATCTACTCCCCTCATATCTCCTTCTAAAACCCAGGATACTAGTTCTAGCTTTCACCCCTTGCGAGCACCAGTCTCCACATTCGTGTTCATCAAGCTAAATCAGAAAGTGATCCAGCTGAAAACTAGCTTGAGAAAAAAGAGATCTGTTTCCCTTTTCTCTGATATGAGCCACCCCAAGGTAATGCAAATGCCCGTGTTAGACTGGAGCAGTCAGAGCTGGGCAGCTGCACAGGCTTGAGGCAGACAGAAGTGATCAAGCAACCAAGGTCTTCAAATGACATTTATTTAAACACAGGGAAAAAAAAATTACATACAGAATGAAAGAGTCTGAATAGTTTCACAAGATTCATTGTTAGTTTCATGTGCAGATCCACTGTTTATCAAGTATTATTTGGCTTTGGGTTGAGTACTGAAACATTTTCAACAGCCATCTTCTGAAATAAAAAAAATCAGAAAGGTAGCATTGGACAAATTTAAAAAAAAAAACAACTGCATTTTCCAACAACTTTAATGTTTTGAACATTTTGCTATTGCAAATCACTGTTCACTGTTTCATGCAAGCTATTTTTTATTCTCCTCTTCACAGATCGAATTGCACAGAATATCATTAAGTCTCATTTGGAGACATGTCAATATACAATGGAAGAACTACACCAGCTAGCGTGGCAGACCCACACATATGAAGAAATTAAGGTTTACCAGAGCAAGGTACAATCTTGTAATATGCTTTTTCTTCTGCTCCCTATGGTTTGAAATTGTTAACAGTGCAATGTATTTGGCAAGGATATGCTGATGAGTTTCTTATAGGTCAAAACAGGTTTTAAATATCTTTGAGGAGCTGGTTACTGAAAGCAAAGGAGTGACACTCCGTAAAAAGAAGCAGCAGCTCCAGTATGTTAGGATGTTTGCTAATGTTAGGATGTTTGCTTAGGCATGGTTATGGAATCCAGCTTCCCATACTTTCCTTGTTATCACAGGTCTAAATTTCATGCAGAAATTCAGTTGATTTCAATGTGATCAGGACTGGGTCCTCTGTTGTAAGGATTTTGAGAAAACAAGATGGCCTAAATTTGTTTCCTTATAATTTTGAAAACACGTCCCCTTTTTATGTGAATAAGAAGTATCTGTCGCTTACAGACAATAGATAAGGACAAACCAAATATACTCTTTAAATTGAAGTTGTTCAAAACTGTGTGGGCAAATGACCTTGTGACACTACAGTTTTGTTCTACATCTGTGATTGTCAGGTCAAGTTCAGACAATTTCCCACTGGCACCTTTTCAGATGTAGTCCAGTCACAGAAATCTTTGGGCCTCTCAATCCGGCATCACTAGCAATGATTCTTCCATCAGATTTCAGTTGCCATATTAGCTGATCATGCAAGAGACAAAAGGGACTCCAGCTTGTTCTTTGAAAGCTGAGGGGCTATGCAGTACTATAAAGAATAAGAATACATCACAGCTTGCAGAGCTGTGGCATGCAAACCAAGAGCATCCATTTACATTTGCACACTTATGTGTGCCAGGAAAATTATTATCAAGGAGACAAAATTTTGATGCAATCAGTGTTCAGATTGCAATGATACTTTAATTATATATTATTCTAAGTTTCAAACTGGCAAAAATAGTCTGTTGGAGAACTTAATAGCACTGTGCCACTTCTCCCTAAGAGTACTGTGGGATGTTTACATTGTTTGTGTGGCTGTTTGTCTGTTTTGCACAATTAGACATTAGAATCGCATTTCAACATTGGTCAATGCATTCTCCCCGTTTGAAGAGGCAATGCCAGGTTCAGATCACTGGGACAATCAGCTTGTGAAAACAGCCTTCTGATGAAAAGTGTCACATACCTCAAGAAGCAGAGATGCAGCTAGCTCTGCCCAGGGATGGGGGGGCCAGGGGAGACTGAAGAGTGTGCCTTTTGGCGAGGCCACATGAAGAACTTTATGCACTGATGAACCCACTTGCTCACTGCTTTGCTTTTGCATGTGTGTTTTCCCGGAAGACCAGAGAAGCTCTGTGGCAGCAGTGTGCCATTCAGATCACCCACGCTATCCAGTACGTGGTGGAGTTTGCAAAGCGCATAACAGGTTTCATGGAGCTCTGCCAGAATGACCAAATTCTCCTCCTCAAGTCAGGTGGGTAAATACCAGAAGCTATAAACTGGTTTAGCACCCTGCACATTAGAAATGTGGTCTGCTGCCTTGTTCTGCAAATCATTTTAATTTCAGTCTGTTTCATTAGTTACATTAACCCTTCTGTGTTTTTGCATATTAATCATGTTACTGCCTTCTGATCCACTTCCCTCTGCAGTCGGTTGTGGTTAAGTACACGCTCGCACACAATCGTTGCAGAAACTGCAGTCTCCAACCTGACATGTGGTGGAAGGACCCTGCGAATTGAGCTGGTCGAATCAGTCATCTGCCACCCTCTAAAATCCCTACTCGTCATTAGTGAAGTGAACACAAGCTCACCAGGGCTGCCTCTGTGGTCATCTCTAATCTTTTTAATGAGACTGCAGAAATACCCTCCAGCCGGTGCACAGGAGGGAAAATCCCTGCTGGCGCCAGTTGGTTTCAGAATAAATGAGAGCGGATGATGGTGGTGTGCTCCGGCCATGCTCTCTGTGCATGCCAGGGTGTGCACCTGTGTGCATAAGGGCAAGGGGGAACAGGGTTTCCTTCCCTGTCACAGGACTCGGCATCTTCTGTCCTCCGGAAGAATCATGACGAGATTTATCGTGACTGTGTAGTAACACTGCCAGACTCAGGAGAACAAAATGGTATGACTAAGTGAACCGTGACTGGTAATTAGCAGCATTTAGCCTGTTCTATCAGTTTCTTGCTCCTTCCGTGTGTAAAAGGCAGGATGCTGTGTGAGGCAGGTCCTTAATGCATAAGAAGTGCTTCCTATTTCGAGAGAGAGCTCTTCATTAAGGCTGAAAGGGCATGTGATTCAGCACTCAGTAACAGAGCACAGTGGCTCGCTGTGGGGCTGAACAGACAGTCGTCACAGGTACAGACGGAAGGGATACACAGGCCCTGGGAGCACACACACAGCCTCCTGGAGAAATGGAGTCGTAGCATGAGAACTATATTTTTGAAGCTCCTACTAATTTCAAAAATTCTGCAGATGCCAGCGTATCCCAGGTAACTTCCTTCATTTGGCTGGTAAAGATAACAACACAACTGCACCTTCAGCAAAAGATATATGTATAGATATAGTATATTTGACTGTGCTATCAGACAACTCTGGTTAGCTTCAACATGTATAAATATGCCAGGTTTTATTTTCTATTTTGCTGTTAATACTGAGCAAGAGTTAGAAAATCAGCCCTTTTCACTCAGAAGGATGTCTGCAAAAGAATTCTCAGTTTCAGAGTCCCTCTTACAGGAGATCTGGATTTAGTTAAGAGGTGCTTTAATTTTCCCCTTCATTTTCCCAAACTGTGTATTTTTGCAGTTAGGAAATAATTGGGAAAGATAAGGAGGAAAGAAAAAAGGATTCCTTCGGCTATTCCCCAACCTGAAAGAAAAACAATGGAAACCAAAGTATAACCGAATTCCTGAATTCAGGGGTGTTCTTGACAGTACTTTAATTTTTATTTTCTCTCTGAAATCCGTTTGTGATGTTCTCTGCCTCCAGCCCATGGAAGATGGGTTTTATATACACATTGAGTGAAGCTGAGTTTATGTATAAAAAAGGTTTAATTGTTAAAAAAGGTTTTCAATAAATGCCTAATTTTCATTATAAAATATTTCAAATTGAAAATATTTGCCTAGGTCTAAATTCAGATTAAGTCCAGGCTGCCAATTTGCTGCAATGGGGGAAAAATCATCGTGAAGAAAATGTGGTTAGCCTGGACCAGATATTGCCCGTTCCATACTCAATGCAGACAGAAATATTTTTTCTCTCATTGAGAGACATAGATGCCTTCAAAGAATGTCTGTCCCTGATGATGTTTCTAATGACTGATGTCTTCCTAAATATTTTCTTGAAATGTCCTATATTCTGATGTTTTGAAGTAATATGTGGTACTTTTTGCTCTTTTTTGTGTCTGATAGGCTGCTTGGAAGTGGTTTTAGTGAGAATGTGCCGTGCCTTCAACCCACTCAACAATACTGTTCTGTTTGAAGGAAAGTATGGAGGGATGCAAATGTTTAAAGCCTTGGGTATGCTGGTCTTCTTCTTTTCAACCATTTACATTGAACCACATAGTGACAGATTTGTCTTTCTGCAAATAGTCACCCACAATGAAAATCTCCAGTAAATACTGAATCCCCAAACCTCCAAATCTCTAGTCTGGAACTGGAAAAGAAAAAAGGTGACTCCACTAGCTGCTCGCAGTGATGGGTGGTTTTCTTCACTGAAAAAGAGCAGTATGAAGGTTTCTTACTCTGCCATCTGAAGTTTTGATAGAATGTGAGTTTATGGCAGGAGCCAAGCAGTTTATCTTCACAGTTCAGTTATGCATGACATATCCAGTCACTCCCACTAATCATATCCTGCAGAAGCCAGTTTTAGCTCCAGCAGCAAGGGGACTAAAATGATGAACTATTACAAAATATAGACAATGACTTACCTAAAATACTATTTTGCCTAAAACACTATTTTGCCTAAAACTTTTAAGCTCATTTAGATTCATGTATTGAAATAATTGCTTCATTTCTCAAGATGATATTGAGTGCTACCTGAAATGCTAATAGCTGAATGGGTGTCTTTTGCCCATCCATGAGACTGATACATTATCAGAAATTTATTCAGACCAAACTCAAAGAGAGATATTTACTTCAAATGTATATATTGATCATATAGGTATACATTTTTGTTATTTGCATATGGATAAATGTAACACTACTTCACAATATTAAAGCATTTATGAATGTGCATTAGCTGATTTATTTTGGTCTTTATGAAGTTTTCACAAATTTTCATAAATATTTATACTGTTCATTAATAAAATTTTATGTATGAGAGTTATTTAGGACTGATGATTCATACCTCTTAGATTTGATATCTGTTTGAAAATAACATTTCTTTCCATATTGGGAAAAGAAAACCATCTTCTCAGATGTCTGTGCAATTTTTGTACAGGTCATGCCCCTAACTCTTGATAATTTTTGTGCTTCAGTGGGTGTTTTAGTGACACCTTTTTAGGGTAGGTGGCATTTTAGTAGCTGATGAAAGGCACTTGTACAGACATGCACTCACAACTTTTATTGACATCAAAACAATCCACGTTTCATGACAGGTTAAAGAGCTGATAAATTTCTAGCATTGATTTTGTCCTCTATGGTCTGCAGGTTCTGATGATCTGGTGAATGAAGCGTTTGATTTTGCAAAGAATTTATGTTCCTTACAGCTGACTGAGGAAGAGATTGCCTTGTTTTCATCTGCTGTTCTGATATCACCAGGTAATATTTCAATCCAAATGCCACAATGATTCTTCTTTTTTTTCATCCTTGTCCACCTCTATTTCTACCTACCTGAACAGCCATTTAAGCTGTATTAAGCAATATTAAGCAATGTATCAAGCAAGGGAACAATACCTGAATTAACCAAATATACCTCACTGTCCCTTTAGTAGACTGTCAGCAGTTACACGTACTGGAAATAGATCCAGACTGTGGGAGTGACAGACATGAAGCAGGATTGTGTGGACAAGCAGGGCAGGCTGGCATTCCTCCAGACCACGTCCAGAGAAGCATGGTACTCAAGGAGGTGCATGTTCCTCCTACCATTTTCAGGGAGCTCAAACCTCACAGCCCTGAGCAGGCTGTATAGTCCCTAAGTATGATGGGCTTTTTCTGTGGGTATAGTAACACAGGCCATAAAAATCTGTATGAGGTCCTGTCTGAATTTAGCTCCAGGTGAGAGGCGATGATTCCAGGGGCAACATGCTCTTTTGCATTTATTCATATATCATAACTGTGCATAGGCAAGCATTCGTTCAGTGAGTGCTGGCTGTCTGGCCACAGAAAAGAGGTTTTTGTGACTGAATTGACTCAGAAGGTGGATCTATAACATAAGCCCACAGTTTAGTGTGATGTTTTTCAACATGCCTCAGGAGAGGTAGACCCCCAGTTTCCACTAAGAGTAACGTTTTCAAAGGCCTTTACAAAAAATCCCACCATTAATTATTTTTCCAGCCTATTCTGCTAAAGACTTCCTCTAGGTCACTTTGCCCTTTTGCACATCTGTGGTGGAGATTACATTAGGCAGAATTAGACTAGCACAGATGGTGTCATCATGTTCATTGTCATCATTAATGACTCTGCTCCTTTTATTCTCCCTTCGAGTAGTTGTTGTGGTCATCTGCTCAGAGGTGAAATGGTTGAGCCAGTGGCTTTTCATGGTGTTAGGCCAGGATGTTCCAGAGATGACCCTCCTAACAGCCGCCATTTCCACTTCAGAGGTGTCTCAGCTGTGCGCAGCGGTGAAACTTGCCTGTGCTCTGTCCCCCAGATCCGCTGACTTCCTCTGCGACAGGGGACTTGCACTGTTCTGATGCATTCCTGTCCATCAGCTCTCCCTCAGTCTGAAAAGACCAAAGCTGTGAGCGCGACAGAGATGTGCAGCCAGTGCTTGCTCCTGGTTAGCACTAGTGGCCTGTTCAGCAGACTGACTCAGTGCAAAGCTGAAAACAACCCAGAAATTTGTTTGGGTTGTGGACTTCAATAAGATGTTAACAGGCACTGCAGAAGATGGTTTCAGTGTTTCCACCTGACTTCATATTCTGAAGGCAAGGGAAGCAGGAAGAGAGTGGTGGGAACCTTGTAAGCAGGTTCTGTATTTCTCTTTTATAATAGCTGGAGGTTTTTCTACTATTCAGTTTATTTTCTTTAGCAACAGGAAAACTAGGAGTTAGCTGAACAGACAGAAACAATAAGACAATTTCGAAGCTGACTTCAAAGCACCTTGGATCAGATGGGGGCATCTCTTCTGCAGAGAGAAAAAGAATTCAGTTATGTAATTTCTAGCCAAATAGGAAAGAAGTCATGTTTCTGTCCCCCAGGTAATCTTGGAAAGGAGAACAAGTAATAGACCTATTCAACAAAATCTGGTCGCAGAAAGCTTCTAGCATCTCAGAGTGTCCCATGCCTGAGGCCTGGTCAAAACCTATTTGAGCAATGGAAAGCTTCCCATTGATTTTAATGCATTTTGGATCAAGTAATTTATGAAATATGCTTAGCTGCAGGTAGGCATTAGATGGATATCAAAATTCTGACTCAGGTCTGCAGTTCTACATATGTCCCTTTAGTTTGGAAAGCACCAAAAGGTCTTCCACTCTGCCAGCAGTTCATATTGCTGAGTATCCACAGCCATTTCTGCTCCTTCCAGCTGTACTAAATACTTGAAAAAGCTAGCAACTCAGCACTGGCTTTGAGCTAGCTGTATTGCAGGCATGTGTGATAAAAGCTTCTCCATTATTTCTAGTAATGCCTTTCAGTCCTAATATGTCAGTCCTGACTACAGGCTTTCAGAGCTGGGTGTCTCCTGAATAGCAGCTTCTGTTTCTGCTAAGCAGCACACTATGTAGAGGCAATTCCAAGGTTTTTTCCATTATAATCAAGCTTCAGGGTTGAAGGTGGTGCTACAAGATGAAAAATTTCAATAACCCGCGGTTACCCATTTCACATCCAAATTGGCTTTATCCTACTTGCAAGCAAGAGGACACATACAGTGTCTCCTAGTCCTTTAACCAAAATAAATTTTTTTTAAAAAAGTGAAAGTGTTTGAGGCATGCTGACTATTTATTTCTGTAGTCTGTAAGCATGTGTATCTTTAGTCATATAAGACACAGTAAGAAAGAAATGATGGGCTGCAGCAGCACATACGTGAGTAAAAGCAATCTCTCCTCCATAAAAAGACTGCAAATTTGTATTGTGCAAATAATTCCCATTTCACCTGGGCTGCTAAGTTTAGGAGTGGGCAGGCAGGGAAAATCAGTACAGCTTGAACTGACATTGAAATTTGCCATTTATTTTCTTACAATAATGATAACAGTAAACAATAGATAAATAAATAATTTCCTTCCACACTAGATGTTCCAGTTTCTTCACGATGAAGTGTTTCGTCCTGGGAACATATATAAAAATTAAAAAATGAAGCACTGCGTCACAGAAGTACCTGCACCAGTCCTTCCATCCACTAGTATAGGTACACAAGTATTCCCTGTGGGAAGTATTCATATTCAAGTTTCATTTCTACAGAGACCTGAAAGGTGATTATTGTGCCCTTGACCTCAGTGTTTAGGTAGCTTAAAGGAAACAGAGTGGTCCCATCAGGAGTAAGGGGACCTAAAAATATCCATTAATACAATTGCTAAGTTTGCAAAGCTCAGCATAAGACCCATTTTCCATCAGATTCAGAGCACAAATCCATATTTTCCACTTTAGGGTGGACCTAACCACTCTGCTTGGAGGTAATTCTTTCACACAACTTCTGATTTCAAATACTAAAACACTGTAGAGGGAGTCCAGTAAAGGTTGTAGATGCGTGACCACCTGCAAACATGCCAGAGCCAGGTGGCAAGATGCAAACCTGGCTGCCCCCTGTGTGACAGTCCCTCTTCTGAAATTTTGGCTGGCCATGTTCCTTTTCTCCATCTTTCTTTTTTGCAAAAGCCGATCTTTCAAATTGTCCCTGATTTTCTTTCCTACACTGCTCTCTAGCCTAGTGGCGTGTGCATTCTTTAAAGGTACACAAGTTCAAAACCCAGGTGGAAACGTACAGAGTTGAACCACTGCTTCTTATACCCTGTATGGGTAGCCACTGATCTATTGACTTTTTCCTGCACTTTCATGAATTTAACTAGAACTACTTGAGAATTCCAGACAAATTTGCAGATGGTTTTCAGGTGGTAGAAACAACATTTTGGGAGACAATAGCCATTGTAAAAGTTTCATCTAGATCTTGTCACAAATTTAAGAACTCTTGTGTTACGTACAACATGCTCTATGACAGGTAAGTGATTAAACCTGTCCTCCAACAGCCTCAGTCTATTTTTAAGCTTATTCTTGTGACAGAAAGGTAAATCTTTAAGGATTGCTCTCTATGATAAATCTTTTTAGCTCCAGTCTGCCACAATAGGCCTTGATGTAACACTATTGAAAGGCATGTTTTTGCAATAGCATAAAATTTGGCACCTAACCTGTAAAGTCCAAATATTACTCTACGCTCATTTGTGTAGATGCTGTATGTGCTCCTGGCTAATTCTGTTTCTATGGTCACTGGTGACACAGGAGCCGTTGGCTTGCCTTCTGTAAGCATGATTCTCTAAGCTTTGCAAAAAGATAATTTTATTTTTCTGATCATCTGTGAAGTACCTAGAGGTTTGGTTTGTCTGTTTTCGTAGTACTCAGCGGCAGACACTTTTCATACACCTCTTTCCACAGACGATCAGACAAATGACAGAATCTTACTCCTCCTGTCGTGAAACACTGTTCAGCTCCAGCCTCTGTGGCATGTGTACTCACTGAAATGGTCAACTTATATTATTTCTATTGATTATTTTAGTGACTGGGAGTGGGTGAAAGAGCTCTGAAAGTGAAAGGGATTTTCCTGCACTTTTCAATTTGTACGTGAATATTCATGATTTTATTTCCTGTTTGAAGGCTAAAATCTGTACCCAAGAATTGGTCTGGATTGAGGGAGAGAGGGAGGCAGAAACAAGTTTGCCACATGGGAAAACAGAAGGTTTAATGATGGTGTAAACACACTGTATTAATGTTTTGGGGTCTGCTACTTTTCCTTCTGTGTGTTTGTCTCCAGAAGCTATGACTTGTGAGAATATAGATCTTACAGAAGACCTCCTACACTTGGGGTTTGAGTTCAGTAGGAGCCATATAGGTTTCCAAACAACTGTGTCTGTAACTGTTATTGTCCCAGATAATCTTTTATTTTCTGTTGTTTAAAAAGAGAACATTTTTAAATAATGAGAAATTTGCACATCAAGACATTGCAACAACTCATCATTCTTTTGAATTGTTAAAAAAATTCTTTTGAAGGAAGTCATTTCTTTTTATTTAGAATATAATATTTGGTCTCAAAATGTTAGCCTAGTAAATAATGAGAAATATTTTATTTTAATTTTTAAATAATTATATTCTATTTTTTTCAAAGAACTGTTTTGATCAATATATTTATTATTTATGCATTAAGACACTGAGATAACATGACATGTTTTTCACCTAGCCAGTATGAAGTTAGAATACGGAGTGTATCATCGGAGAATAATAAAATGGTGGGGCCTTGTTTCATTTTTGCTCCCATCTTTATCTGTAACATCCTGGTTTAAACAAAGAGATGCAGGACCAACATTGTGTTCCGGTACACTTTGCATCTGTAATTAAACTCTCAGGTGATCTTTTAGTGGATTAAGATACTTTGCCTCTGAAACCATGTCTTAGTTATCATGCAATCCTTCCTCATCGGATTTATGGTTACTGTGAATGCTCGCCAGCATGGGACACTGTGTTCATCCATGAGCACAACGCACATCTGTGTATTCTTGACTTTAGCTCTTGCTTTCCTTTTTCTCAGATCGAGCCTGGTTAATAGAGCCAAGGAAGGTCCAGAAGCTTCAGGAAAAGATTTACTTTGCACTTCAACATGTGATCCAGAAGAACCACCTCGACGATGAGACCTTGACAAAGGTAAATTCTAAAAACAAAAGGGCTGGGCACTCATGACTCGTTTTCTAGTAGCCATTGCTCCGTATATCACTGCATTAATGTAAGTTAAAAGCAGCACATTATGTGCTTGCAGTGTATAGGGAAAGTAAGGCTTGTTTTATTCTTGTCGCTGGTTCTTCTTACTCCATTTTTTGTTCAATCCTTTAATCTTTTTAACTGGTACCCTAGCAAGAATAAGACTGGCTTTAAAAATAGCCCCGGAGACAGTTCCTTGTTAAATGCGTTTTTGGCACTTGGCTAAAATTTCCAGGACAATTGTTTTTAGTCTCTTACAGAAAGAACAATGTCTGGTCCTTCGGTTGGGTAGTTTTGATGGAGTTCAGAGTATTGTATTCGGTTACCCAGCAAGATGTTAATCATGTAGTTCGTTTTGCAAACTACAGTTTATACTAAAATGCCTTGTCCCTCTTCCTTTTCTTTTTATTTTAATGTCTCACAGTTAATAGCCAAGATACCAACCATTACTGCACTTTGCAACTTGCACGGAGAGAAACTACAGGTATTTAAACAATCTCATCCAGATATAGTGAACACACTGTTTCCTCCATTATACAAGGAGCTTTTCAATCCAGACTCAACCACTGGCTGCAAGTGAAGGGGATAATAGGATTTTCACGTAGTCATGGAATGCATCACTATAAAGACAAAAAGAAATGTTTTCATGAAGAACTTATTAAAAATGTCACTACTGCAACACTAGGAATGTCTTGCACTTACTTAATAGAATTATTTTTCACCGCTACAGTTTGAAGAATGTAAATATGCAACTCTGAGTGGGGATGTCTTTTTTCTCTTTTCTTTGTTTACTTTGGTTTTTTTTTAACTGACAATGAATATACAAATATAGGACACTGGGTGTTATTTTTTTTAATTTTATTTTATTGAGGGATGTTTTGGGAGAAAACTGTTCCTAGAATTTTATTGTAGATATACATGAGAATAGAGCAGTACTTTGCAGTATTACTCTTGCTGTTTGTTGTTCAAATATAATTTAAGAAAATTCCACTTATTAGACTTGCCTATTTCTATGTTTTTAGATAGTTTAATGCATGTGGAAATTTGTAGCTGTCTTGGAAATTATGGTACATGTATGGAATACATATATATATATATGTGCTCTATACTTATATATATATATATATGTAGGTATTATAGGCATACATGCTGTAGCTTAAAAAACTCATGCCTACTTTTAAAGGATGCTCAGCCCAGCTGTCATGCATTTCTTACTCTCCAAGTAATGTATTAGATTTACTTTGGGCAATCAAGATTTGCTTTGCCAGTCAGAGTTAAATTATCAGCTGCCAATGTGTAATGACAGGATCACTTCTGAGATATGTGTAATGTAGTGCATGTGTGCAGTCTGCAAACAAAACATTAGGAATGTATCAATGGTGCAAAAGCCTTGTCTGGATGACTTTAGTGGAGAGAGGAAAAGTTTTGGGTTTTTTCTTATTTTTCTCCCTGTTACAGGCATAAAGCATATATAAAAGTGAACATTGTACGACCTCATGTCAGTAAAGTGTCTGAAACACGGAGTAAAAATGTAGACTATCCCACACGTACATTTTTCTGATTCCACACATGATTTTGTTTTATATATACTGCTTTGAAAAGTAGTTGCAAGGCTTGGTTTATTTTTTGCTGAACTCAGTGGAAAGACACGTAGTGAACTCAGTGAAAACCATGGGAAGCCTAAAATGTAGCTCTGAAGAGGAGCAGCAGAGGGAGGAAGGGAGGGAACGAGGAAGAAAGTCAAAGCGAGCAATGTTCATGGTTACAAAAGCGAATGTGACTATCACTGTTTCTGACACAGCCATCATCTAGATGGGGCTGATAATTTCCATTATGCACATACATATCTGTGTGTTGCATACACATGCATATATGTATGTATATATCTGTATGTATATAACTGTGTAAATATACATATATAGGGTTGATTTTAGATGCACTGCAGGAGGGGAGCAAAGGATAGGGACTTTCTTTTTGTCGTCTCTGGACTGACTTGATGTGCATTGGCTTGCAAAACCAAAGGCAGACACAGAGGGGAATGGAAGACTGCCATGGACTTAATCTTGTAGATTAATTAAGTTTAATTAGCAGTCATGATTAGTGTATTTGCATTCTGCCAGAGATACAAAGCATAGACTTTTTAGCTATGGAAGAGGGATTCAGTTTCTGCTCTGTCCTTACCATCAGTTTTACCCGTTGTGAGCTTCTTCAGAGGAATCTTCTCCAGGGATGCCAGTGCAGGGAGTAGAGCAGAAATATGAGGAAGCAGGCAGTAGAGAAGAAATAAAGTGAAGGCAGGATCATGAGAAGATATATTTCTTTATTTCAAATCACATAGAAATCAGTGCAACCTGAGGCAAGGCGAGGAGGAGCACACTGGCAGGGAGGCCGAAGGATCTGCTGTCTGCCGGGCTGCACGGCAGAGCAGCATCACGGTGAGCCCAAGGGGACAAAGCTGGACCCCAGTATGGGTGCAGAATCTTGGTTTGTTGCAGTGATAACTTAATGCCTCCAGCTTTTCCGGCAGACTCGCACAGCTCTGGTATCAATCTTTTATCCTCTTTTCTGCACGACCAAATATTTCACAGGTTATTCCAAGTGCTTTGTGGAGTTTTTCCCTTGCCCTCCATCAGGTGGTTTGCAAGCTTACATACATGGTTCATGACAGAGTCCAGCCTAGATGACATCAACATTGGTTTGCTGTTTTTTAGCAATGCCAGAGTTGATACAAGAGCAGTCACAAACTCTCAGCTAGTAAAAGTTTCTCTGTAGGTCCATTACAACTTCAAAAAGCAAACAGAAAAAATCTGCGCAGCAAAGTTAGTTGTGTTGAGAATTTTGTTGCAAATATATACTCTTCAAAATTAGTCATATAGAACAGAAATTCCTAAAATAACATTTTTGCTCCAAATTCAGAGCACATTTTCTGATCTCTACTGATTACATTAAAATGTCTATAGTTAACATAATAAAGCAGTGCTCTTGGTGCTTCTTTGTACTACTTAAACCCTAAGACTGGCATTCCCTTAGAAAGTGATTTATCTGTTTGCAGCTCCTTTTACATGGTGAATCCGTGAAAAGGACTTCAAGCTCCAACTCTTTCTAATATCAAAAAACGTAATTAACTATATTTATGAACTGCTTGTGCGAATTTATTTGGGAAAAAAACTCAAATGGAGTTTTATTGTGAAAAAATTCAAAATTATTTGGGAAAAAAAGTCAAATTGAACCCTAGAAGTGCTCAGCTTTAACTGCAGGGGGTTCATATTTTCCTCGTCTTTTCCCATATAAGAACACACACATATGTATTTGTTTGAAGTCCTTTATAAACTTGTTTTCAGTACATCAAAAGTAACATATTTAGCCAACCCACAGAAATACAGAATATGTGATAAATATTAATATTATTGTTCTTATTTCTGATAAATAAAGAGGTTTGTCATGTTTCTAAATAGCCCTTCACAATTATGTGTTACATCTTGCAAATGTTTTGTTCTTTTCAAATAAGCTAATCACTCCTTGGGATTTTTAACTGATGTCTTAGGCAAGATAACCAAATGGAGAACACCAGTGAAAAAGACATTATTTAATCATTATCCACAGGGCTTTTAATCCTTAAAGCACTATTCTTAAATCACTATAACCTCATGACCTTTTCAATCAGTAAAGATTACTGCCACTTTTTAAAGATGCAGAAATGAAGGAAAAGAAGTTAAATGACTTCCCAGAGACAACAGAGGTGGCAGTACCCAGTCCTGGAATAAAAACAGATCTTGCTTGATGTCCTAAAAATGTTAAAATGCTGGTATACAAAATCTTCGTTGCCATTGATAGGCAATAGCTGGTACACACAATTACAAATATGCCAAAAAAATTTTTATCTTCAAGTAAGGTTAATAATCAACAGCTTGCTCTATTTTTGTTACTACTTTTACTGAATTTGAGCAAATAACCTTGTTTATTTGGAAAATAAAAATTCATTCTCATACATTATTTATTTGTGGTAACTAAGGCTCATAAATTTTATTTAATTTTCTGTGAGTTGGGATTGGCCACATAGGTAAAGTAGTACCTCTCTTGCCTTGCATTGACTGAGTTTAGAATAACAAATCCCTGTCACATGCTACAGGCTGGATTTTTGTTGTTGGTTATGATACATAGACATTTATATTCAAAATTTCAAATTCTTGGTATTGGATTACATATGTTCAAGTTATCCATAGACTTTAAATAACAAAATAGCACGAATTCAAGTAAATAACTGCATAATCTACTCACAAAATGCTTTTCAGAAAATATTAGCGCTGCACTTTATTTCTTCTTGGCTTTCATTAGTCCACAGTAGTATTGAAGTTCTTCAATTAAATCTCTAAAACTAGGATTGGTGACATCTGCTCTCTGTAGTAATTGGTTATGTTTGTTGATTTTTTTAGTGACAAGCTTTTCAAATGGGACACATTTTCTAACGATTGATTAACCCGGGATCTTTAACAAAAGGATTTTTAATGCATGTATTGAATCTTCGACTTCTAGCATTGCTCTCAGATAATTCAACTACATTGATCCAAATTATCCTTGGCATCAAGGAAGCAGATGTTGCTGTTCATTACACTACCACAGAGACTTAATTTTGGTTCAAATGTCACTCTTGCTATCTCTTTGTATAAAGAATTAATTCCAAGAGTCATGTTTCCTTCTAATGGAAAGATTGCTTTAGTGATTGCTAGGAAAAAAACAGGGTAATAGAAGGCACTCAATTGAGCCAATTTGTTTCCAAAAGCAATGTATATTTATTTATTGGTTTGTGGTAGGCAGCATTTAGGAATTGATTCTGCAAGTTGTCAGGCTCACTTAGCTCTAACTAGAGCTGCTAAAAATGAAGGCATCTCAGCACCACACCGAAGATGCTCTACCCCTCATAAAGTGTTTGGTGTTAAGAGGTCCCCTTTGGGCTTTGCAAAGCACAAGTCAGATGTTATTCTCATACCTGCATTTTAATGCTTTAACATCATGCTTCCCATTGTTCATTTCAGCTTTGTTTCAGAGATTGGTTTATTCCTCCTGTTGCTCCTTGGGCACTGGTGCTGTCTCAAAGCCTGTGCCAGGTTATGGTGCTTCAGGTGGAGCAGCTACCAGACTTGTCCATGAAGATGGGCTTTGTTAGGTGATTTTCTTCGTTCATGTTTATGGAGACAGCTTGCACAGGTGTATGTTTCCCTTTGGGATAGTTTGCAGGGATTTCTGACATAGCAACTTCTACATAAAAAAGGTGCAAAGCCGCTTTTGTGGGCTGGTAACTCAGCCTTCCACCACCAGGCTGTGGGGGCTGCCCCAAGGCTTCAACAGTCTCACAAGTCGGTCAGGCAGCACACTTAGAGATGTGCAGCTGATGGCTCCTTTCCCCATTGTCTTTTTCACCCCCTCTAAAGCTGTACTGCAGAGCAACATTTGAAAGATGTTCAGGCTCCCCTCCATCCTCCTTTCTGCTGACTCCACATTGATTGTGCTGTTTCCAGAAGAGCCAAGGTCCAGCCTGGAAGCTGGTTGCTATTTTCAGAGTCATTGTCTGTTGGACATCCCAGGAAGATAGCACTGGGCAATAAGATCAAACTGAAGCATGAGGTTTTTGTCCAAATACGTTAAGTCTAAGCACATATGAAATGGAAACCTGAGACAGAACAGCTTGCTTTTCGCTGGTAATAACACCTGCCAACCTGTCCCAGCACTTTCTGCCTCCACTCTAGAAAATAATTCCTGTCTCTGACAACCATTAGGAGCAGTGTGTTGGAGACTCAGTCCTCTACTTTCCTTTTTAAGTTTCACACTTTGTAAATGACAATCACTGCTTGATGCAGATGTTGCACTGTATGTCACTCAGGGATGTTTCATTACTA